ATATATAAAAGAACTGTAACTTATAAAAATAAAAATTATATTATGGAAATAATATCGAATTTGGATAGTTTGATAAATGAGCATGCGCAAGCTTGTAAGTAGCTCGCGCTCAAAGCGCCACTTGCGAGAGAAAGGAAAAACAAAACGGTTGAGAGTAACGAATCAAAACGTAAACAAAACAGAAGAGGCGGATCAGTCAGAACGAATAGAGACGACTACGTCGACAGCATTTTTAGAAGTCATACATACCTCATCATGATTTTCTACAATGTGGATCGGTACACTCGAAAAGTATCTAAGATGAGACATATTGAAGAATATTAGTAGATACTAATAATTTTCAGCTAACGACCAAAATTACCCGTACGTGAGAAAGAACTCAATACGACGTTTTCCAATTGATGCAACACAACATACTCGCGAATACGATTACATAGCTCCCTCACGCGAAAACACGTGGTCAACGACTGAAGTTGTACTAGGCGGGAACCTCAAACGATTATTTCGCGAATAAAGGAGGCACGCAACGGGTTCTTACCCTGAATTCTCTCACGAGACGAGTTTCGTAAGGTGGTGCCTTTTTTTTCCATTTCTCTTCCCCCATCTCACTCTTCCTCCTACCTCCCTTTAGATTCTCCCCACGTCGAAAAGATGCCTCAGAAACCTGATCTGCTTAAACTCACAGCTGGCATACTTAAATGTACAAATATGTGTAACAATTTTGTTAAATCCATTATTTGACATATGTGCATTAAAAATATGTTGTTAAAATATATTAAATATAATGAATATTATTATATATATATTAAACCATTTTTTAATCATTATTAAAAGGTAGCTTTTATTGAAGGAAATATTATGAAATTCTTATATTATATATGTTCTTAACTGTAAACGTAATATTCTTCCTTATTCTAAGACCCTATAATATGCATCTTTTACATTAATCTTTTAACTTAATAAAAACATATACGATTTGTAATTCTACAAAATTCAATTGAGAAAGACCAATTGAATTACGTAAGATCAGATAGTACGGAATCGATGATAAAAGATTACATATGGCACACAGTACATGCATCTCATAAATACATACCACATGGCCTTTTACTGTCAACCATTTCGCATATCATTGTATATTACCAATTGATTATAGTCAATCATAGGAAATCATGACCAAAAATAAGATAAAATAAGATAGCATTTAGTTTATAAATACGTCTATTTATATTTATATGTATAAGTCCATCATTTGATTATCGCTATTCATCTTCAGTATACTTCCCTAACATCTGAGATTGATAAATTTGCAAATGTAAATTATTAGTTTTGCTTCTAATAGATTTAAAAAATTCTTCAATATGTATTTCTTTTTTATAATTAGAATTAGCAGAATTATTTAACGCATTTTGGTTAATTCTTGATTTGTGATAATTAGTACTTGGAAAAATTTGTTTCTGATATCCATCATAAATTAAATTATAAGAAAAATTATTATCTACATAATAGTTATTAAAATAATAAGATTGAATATAAGGATCTATATTATGTTTGTAACCATAACTATTCGACTTATTTACATTACAATAAGAATAAACTTCATCAGAATTTGTATCAACATCGCATTGTTTTCTATGGTTAATTGGTACCGTAGTTTCTATATTAATATTAGAATTTTGTTTTATATTTACAAATGTTTTAGAAATTGAGTTTTCAAAAGTATGTACCATTTTTTTATGACTACTATTGGTTTCTACATCTACTTGTCCACTGCATGGTTCTACCAATGGGACAAAAGCAGTTTGAGTAAAATTTAAGTTTTTTCCTGAATTCGTAGATTTTTTTGCTGAGTATTTCTTCTGTCTATAATTACATTTTGTTTTCTTATATACAATTGGAGTTGGTGCATTACAAACATTCAACGATGATCTATCTAGAAAATCAGTTTCATTACTTTCATTCGTTGCTTGTTGATTAGTACTACATTTTTTATCACTTGTAATTGAATGGACTACTATACTAGAATTTATATTCAAGTTATTAAATAGACTCATAGCATTTATTTGTTCATCAAGTTTCTTTATAGTTTCTCTTTTTTCGTGAATTGGATTTAATATAGAATCGTTTGTATGATTATGATTTATTAATTGAATACAACTATTTTCATGTATTGCGGGATACGAAGAATCTTCATTTAATTTAACTCCTTTTCTTTGATTTGTATTCTCTTGTCTTATTAAAACAAATAGTTCATCAAAAGATATTTTATTTTGTTCTTTTACTTTTGTAATAAAATTATTATATTCACATCTATCAAAGACAGTAACGTGTTTTACCCACTCCATAATTCTTACTGTAATATCTGGTTCTTTTTGTATATATTCTAATGCATTACGATAATTATCAATTTCTTGATCTGATATCATTAAATTTGGCATAAAAGTATGTTCTTTTATCGGATAGGGAAAGTAAGCTTCAAATTTTTGTCCAGATTTTCTATAACGACTTTTAAAATCTTCTATTTCTTTATACATGCCTAGTAAGTCTAGATTTATATTTAATGAATATAAATAAGTATCATCGATTTCCTTATCAGTACGAAGTTCAGGATAAATACAAAGAAAAGCTTTTCTCTGTACTTGAAAGAAAGTTTTTAAAACAGAACAGTATTTTTTTTCTGTAATAGTATAAACAGATTCTGACATTTTTTCCATTATTTTGTCCAATAAATAAATTTCAAAGATAAGTTCTTTATTCCATTCTGAGGCTATATTTAATATAGGATCATTATCATCACCACCGTTATGCACTATATCAAGTTTATTTTGTTTTTGTAAGCCTTTTGCATGTATTTGCAAATAGTTCAATAATTCTTTAATAAAAGGAACATTAATGTCTTCTGTATTTTCTGGTAATAATAACTTGGTACATAAAGTATTTTTCTTTTCTGTGAAATAGACTTGTTTTTTCTCATTTTCAAATAAATTATTGTCACTAATATTAATTTCAGTATTAATTTTATCGTTTATCTGAGTATTCATACTTGTAATATATTTCTTATTAAGTGTAAATTTCAAATATTCCATTATTTTATTATTACCATTATTTAATAGTTCATCTTGCTCAACATTAGATAAATCAACTTTAAACTCAAAATCTTCGTTAAGTTTCTGTAATTCAGATAGATTATTGACATTATTTATTAATTTAAATTTGTATACATTTTTTGGTGATGTTTTAATACACGAAGTATCAATATAAAGTAATTCATTTTCTATTTTATCCTTCAAAGAATATTCATGTTCATTCTTTTCTTTTATCTGTTGTACAAGTACCGAGTCAGTTAATGTATTGTCTTCTGATTTTGGTGTAGATATATGTTCAATAGATTTATTATTTTCACTTACTGAACTATTAATTACAACCTCATTTGACATGTTGCTTTCATTGAAAGATAACTTCATGTTATTTGAACCATTGCTCCTATTCTGCAAAAATACTTTGTTACTCTGAGATTTTTCATTACGTGTAAACATCAAACCATTGTCTGAATCAAGTATACTATTGTCAATTTTTTCTTCATCTGTATCATGGGCAGAAATTTTATCGAATAATGCATAATCACAATTCCAAATATCATATGGATATTTTACAGGAAGTTTAGCAATGGAAAAATTATTTCCTCCAATATTTCTTAGTATATTCTTCAAAGACTGTAATTCATTGTCTGAAATAATTGTTATAGAAACTCCATGAGATCCATAACGACCACTTCTTCCAATTCTATGTAAATATGTAGCTGCGTCTCCAGGTATATCAAGATTGACAACTAAATTTACATTTTCAACATCAATTCCTCTAGCAGTTAAATCGGTTGTTATCATTATCCTACACATAAATGTTTTTAATTTTTTAATAGCCTGTTGTCGTTTAATCATATCTTGATTTCCTCCTATGTAAGTAGCAGTAAAACCCAGTGAATTAATATTATTACAGACAGATTGTGCTCTTGATTGATAATTTGAGAATACTAAACATTGTTTAAATGGAATGTTATTAAAAATCTTAACCAACTCTTTTACCTTTATCTGAACCTGAATAAACAAAAAAATTTTTAGAATCTTTCATAAACAAAAAAAATTACTAAATAATTATATAACAGTAGTGTAGACAAATATTAAAGTAGAAATAATGATTTATAGTCACCTGTTTCATAGCATTTGGATGTGAAGAAACGACAGAAACAAATTGTTTTAAACCAAAAAGAATTAGTCCATCATTATCTGGAGATGTTAAGAGTGGTGAAGACATATACATTTGAAGAAAAGATTCTAAATCTCCTAAATAAGTTGCACTTGATGCTATAACTTGTTTACTAGATGGTAATTTAGAAAATATGTAACTGAAATTATAAAATTCATAAGAATGAAAACTATGTTCAACATATACAATAAAGGAACTTTCCACTTTCTACCTACTTAATGTCCCTTTGAAAACTATTTTCCATTAATTTATCTGCTTCATCAAGAACAAACAATCTGACATAGTCAGTTTTAAGTAATCCTTTCTCTATCAGATGTTTAACTCTACCTGGAGCACCAACAGCTATGTGACATTCCCGAAGTTTTTGTTTATCTCCATCTAGAATCATTCCTCCAATAAAAGATTCAACTTTTAATGCTGAAAAAATTTTTAATTTCATTTAAAATTGAATCCAAATAAAATAAATAAACAAAGATATTAACCTTGTAATTCAGAACCTATAGATGACAAGACTTCAGAAATTTGGATAGCTATTTCCCGCGTAGGTGCTAATATTAAAACTTGAATAAAAGGTATTTCAACATTTACCATTTCAAGAGCCACAGTACTGAATACTAATGTTTTTCCAGTTCCAGATTTTGCTTTCATTATTAAATCTACAAAAATAATATAAAATTTATATTAACTTTAAATATGACGATTAATATATTATTATTATTATTATTATTATTATTATTATTATTATTATTATTATTATTATTATTATTATTATTATTATTATTATTATTATTATNTTATTATTATTATTATTATTATTATTATTATTATTATTATTATTATTATTATTATTATTATTATTATTATTATACAAATATACCAAAACCACAACGTCCCAATGGTATTGCTTTGAGTTGTATGGGTGATGGGCTTTGAAAACCACAATTAGATAAACCATTCAAAATATTTGGAGAAAGACCCATTTGAGAGAAAGTTACGTCTTCCAATATTTTTACATCCTTAGTGCGTGACTTCTTTGTTACATCATGAGCAATAGCATGCAACATATTTCTTTAATAACATAAA